TTCTCCACAGTGTTGGGGCATCATCTTCAGCCTATAGGCTTAGTCTGTCTAACTATGGAACTGAGGCTCACATGCCTGCCTTGCTTGAAACTTTCACTGGGTCCTTACAAGCGACAGAACTGAAAACCAAGCCCCTACAACAACATTCAAGACTCCTCATGATCCAATTCCATCCTGCCCTCAGAACCTGTCCCTGAAACTCCAGCATTGGATCGGGCCACTGACCACTCCTTGGACAGTCCAGATTCTGCTGCCTGTTCTGTGCCTCTGTACACACTGGGACAATGGGAGACGGTCTCTGCTCAGCTTGAACTCTGATCCTATGCCCAGGTAAACATAGCCCCTTCCATGAAGCAGCATAGTTCCTGCCCAAGCCTTCACAGATGCGGCTCGGCCTGCCACTCCCTAGCTCCTCATAGCTGGCATTACAAGAGGGTCTCAATTACGGGCAACGCTAAGCATCGTACAACCAGCCACACACAGTTATTCAGCCCCAAATATCAACAGCACCAAGGCTGAGAAGCCTTCCTAATGCTGCGACCCTTTAATACAGTTCCTCATGTTGTGGTGACCCCCTAACCATAAAATTAGTTTCACTGCTACTTCATAACTGTAATTTTGCTACTGTTAGGAATTGTAATGTAAATATCTGATATGCAGGATATTTGATATTCGACCTCTAGGAAAGAGCTATTCAACCCCCTCCCCCCAAGGGGGTCACAACCCACAGGTTGAGAACCAATTATTTAGCTCAAATTACAGGACTGCCGTGGTCTGCCTGATGCTGGCTGACTCACTGACTTCTGGAGGCAATGTAACTAGCACATCCTATTCCTTGTGCATACTACATGTTTAAAAAGGGATGCTTTTTTGTCTCTCTTTAATGAATCTTCTCCCTAAAAACATATTCTTGACTGGTGATGAAACTCATTGGTACAGCACTTGTCTATCATATACAGAAGCCTGGGATTAACCCACAGTGCCACAAAGAAAAAAAAAAAATCAAAGTCAGCATCAAAATATATTCTTAAGGGGCCAGAAACTCAGTAAAGTATTTGCCACGAACAGAATGAGGGCTGGAGTTTGATCCCGACTGCTCACACGAAAAAGCAGATGTGTGTTGTCAATCTCGGGTCTCCACACTCACTCTCACCTACAAACGCACCCACCACACACACACACACACACACACACACACACACACACACACACACACACGAGTGGCAGTACACGCCTATAATCCCAGTGTTGGGGAAGAGAGGACAGAAGGGCACCTGGGACTTGGTGACTAGCCGGTCTAACAGGCAAGTTCCAAGTTCAGGGAGAGACCCTGTCTCAAAGAGGAAGGAGACGCAAGATGGAGGAAGACACCGACCTTCACATACATATGCACACAAATGTGTGTACACCCACACACATGAACGCACAGGTAAACAGTATTAGAGCTGAAGGGAAGGAACAGTAGGGGAAGGGTATGTATGAATGGTCTCCAGGACTGACCTGTATATTAACTCTTCAGGCAACCCCCAAAGACACACAGTGTTAATTATAATTGCTAAAATGTATCAAGCACTTATGTAACACTCTGATCTCCTCACAACTTTATGAGATAGATACTATTTTGCCTTTTGGACACTCAGGCTCAGGGAGGTAACTACTCATGATAATGCAAGCTAGTGCCAGGGTGGTGGCAGGCACAGACCTTTACTGAGGCAACGGCAGGCAGATGATTGTGAGTTCAAGGCCAGCCAGTGCCACACAGTGAGACCCACATCTCCAGGAGGGGGAAAAAAAAAAAAAAAAAAAAAAAAAAAGATGAGAACCAAAGCTACCAACTATCTGAACAGACCCAGGACTCCAGCCCCAGACGGTACAGCTTCAAACAGGGACCTCCTTCACTGGCACTGGTACTTCTAACTGAACTTCCATACAAGGCAAAATACCTGTTTGGGAGGAAGGACAGAGGCTGAGGTAGGGACTTCATAGGCAATTTGGAGAGAAGCTCCTCCCATGTCCAGTATCCCCACCGTCCTCCGGCGTCCCGTTGCCGAATCCAGGGAAGTGTCAGCATCTGACTCTGAAATCAAGGACAGGATTCAAATAGTTAAGAACAGAAACCAAGTCCAAAGGGAAAGACACCCCCAACTCCCACCCCTCCCACACCCCTCCCCCCACCGACTCCCATCCCTCTTCAAAAAAAAAAAAATGCCAGGCCAGCAAGATGGCTTAGTTGGTACAAGCTCCAGCTTTTAACTTGAAAGTAACTAAAATAAATTAATCTAATTACTGAATGTATATTATATAGAGAATAATTCTTTCAAATGGCTTAAATATATTTCAACTATGTATCCAGAGGGCCAGGAGAGAACCACCTCTGGCACATGGTCTTCTCAAATGCCCCATGGCACGTGCATGTCTACCCTCATAAACATACAGTAAGTATTGTTCAAACAATAACAACCATGGAGGATTTTGTTTTTTTAAATGTGTTCAGTGGAAAGAGAGCAGACACAAAAAATAGCAAAATATTCTGAGTGTTGAGACTGGGTGATGGGTTCATCCACGTTCATTTTGTTACTTCCACTTTTACAGACATTTGAAGCTTTCCATAAAAAGATGACAAGGACAAAGAAAAACTCACAGCCAGCTTGTACACACTACTGAGAACTTGAAGAGAAGCTGCCGCCCTTGAAGAATATCACACGGCAGAACCGACTTACCATCTTCATGGTCAAATCGTCCCAGAACAAAGTTGATTCCAATCCACGCATAGACTCCTAAGGAAGAGATGGACAAGGCCTCTCTGTAATTCTCTACTGCTGGACCACACCCTTCCCAAGGGTGCCCTTTTTCTCCTTTTCTTGGGAAAATAAAAATAAAAAGAACCATAATATTCTACTCCATACTCCTTTTTTTAAATATTTATTTATTTTCATTTTATGTGCATTGGTGTTTTGCCTGCATGCATGTGTTAGGATGCCAGATTCCCAGGAACTGGAGTTACGGACAATTATGAGGGACCATGTGGGTCCTGGGAATTGAACCTGGGTCCTCTGGAAGAGTAGCCAGTGCATAACCACTGAGCAATCTCTCCAGTTCCCATCTACTCCATACTTTTTTTTTTAAAGATTTATTTATTTATTTATTTATTTAAAGATTTATTTATTTATTAATTTATTATGTATACAATGTACTGCCTGCATGTATGCCTGCCTGCCAGAAGAGGGCACCAGATCTCATTACAGATGGTTGTGAGTCACCATGTGGTTGCTGGGAATTGAACTCAGGACCTCTGGAAGAGCAGGCAGTGCTCTTAACCTCTGAGCCATCTCTCTAGCTACTGCTCCTCTCTCTCTTCCCTCCTCCTTTCTCCACCTAGCATACTGCTCCCCACCCCCATCCCTACTGGGGCTCATCCCATGCTGGGGCTCATGCACCCTAGTTACCTACATCCCCAATCACCTACATCTTTTCTTCCTTTCTACAATCATTCATAACTTCTAATCATTCTACAAAGACTACGAACTAATTATTAAAAAAACAACTCTTCCAAAAAGAATGTTTAAAACTGCATCAAGGGCCAGGCATGGTGGCACACGTCTCTAACCACAGCACTCAGGAGGCAGAGGCAGGTGGATGTCTATGAATTTGAGGCCAGCCTGGTCTAAACAGCTCGTCTCAGGCCAACCAGGGCTATATAGTGAGACCCTGCTGGGAGAGAGATGGGAGGGGCCTGGGGTGCAGCTTGGTGGGGGGCACCTGCTCAGCATGGACAAGGCACTGGGGGAGAAGAGTGAGTCTTGTAGCGTGGCTCCTGAGAAAAGTGGGGGACTGCACCAACCCAGTGTCCCCACAACATACAAGATGCAAATATAACCTGTGGGTGGGTGGGATGCCCACAGCAGTGTGTAAGAACTCTGAAAGTGAGACAAATAGTGGACGCGGAGAGACAAGAATTGAAAGTGTTCCCAAACTAGACTGAGTCTCTCATCCCCACCCCCACCCCCTTAGGTATTTCTCGGCTTCACCTCAAACGCAGTTTGAGATGAAGTATGAACCAGGTGTGGATAGAAAGAACTCCCAGGCTGTTCTCTAGCTCAAGAAGTAGGAAAACAGACCCCAGAGGTTCAGAGGCAGCAGGGGGATCTCCAGGGGCATTTGTTGTTGCTTGTTTGTCCGGTTGTTGTTGTTGGTGGTGGTGTGTGTCTGCATGTCTCTCTCTGTGTGTCTGTGTCTGTGTGTGTGTGAGATCTTCCTCTACTGCTCTATAGCTTATTTTTCTGAGACACGATCACTCCCTGAACCAAGCTCACTACCTCAGCAAGGCTGACTGGCCACCAGCCCCAGGATTTCGCCTCCCCAGTGATGGTTTTCCAGGCACATGCTGTCATGCCTAGCCTTCTGTGTGCGTGCTGGGGATCCACACTCAGCCCCTGGTGCTGACACCACCAAGCTTCACCGCACCGTCTTCCTCGCCCATTTCATTTTGTTGTTGACAATCTCGCTCTGCAGCCCAGGCTGGCCGGCCATTCACCTCACTATGCACCTTCGGACTTGGGGTAATCCTCCTGTCTCAGTCCAAGGGCTAGCATTACAGGCATGTGCCACCACACCGGGCCTGGCTTGCCTCTGTTTCATTCTGTTCCTCCCTGCCTGGGCATTCCTGTCACAGACAAGGTACAGATGGCTAGACACCTAAAATGCTAAAGAAGTGAATTCTCTTTGGTCAGAGGAGCTATAGCCTCAAGCACATTGGGAAAATACATTTATTTTTCTCCCCTTATTCTCCAGCCTCTTGGCTCTGGACGCAGGTGCAGTCCAGAGCACTGGATGTGGATGCAGATGCAGTCCAGAGCATAGGATGCAGATGCAGTCCAGAGCACTGGATGCGGATGCAGTGGATGCAGTGCTGGCTTGGCAGTGTGGTCAAACCAAAAGCCTCTTTTCTGACCACAGGACCATGAACATAAGCTCCCAGGAACCAGAAAGTGTTGGAAAGTCAGGAGGACACAGAGCACAGCTGTGATAAACTTCTCGGCTCACCTCCAAGGTTTGCACGCATGGATCTGATCCTAAACTATACTCACAGCTTTCGGAACTGAATTGTGGGACAGTTCATCACCCAGTCCCAGACTGGTCACCGGCTGATATACATGGGACAAGTGCAAACAGTAATGTCAAAGCTTTGATTAAGAAACTAATCATTGCGAGCCAACGAACAGCTCATCAGACAAAGGTGTTTACGATGAGCACACTACACACATACTGTGGTAGAGAGCAGAATAAACCACTGGTACAGGACCAGGGAAATGACTCAGTAGGTAAAGACACATGCAGCCAGTTCTGATGACCTCAGTTTCCTGGGGCCCATGTTTTGAAAGGAGAAAAATGACTTCCTAAGGCTGACCTTCACACACAAGCCATGATACGCATGCACAATAAATAAGAATAAAATAAAACAATAGAATCAATCCACATAAAGAAGGTGCGAAGCTGAATGCAAACCTGATGGCAGGAACTGCCTACTTAAAAAATGAATATTCTCTTTCTGACATGAACAAGACCCAGAATCTCACGATATTCATGGATAGAATAAAGTTATTGGGCACACAAAGGGCAAGAAAATGTCACCTCATAAGGAAAAGGGAGTAAAAAGATGTCAACTTTGAGATGATAAAGACACCACTTGGGATGAAAAAGATGGAAAAGTGGCTGTGTGAGAGAGAGAGAGAGAGAGACAGACAGACAGAGAAATAGAACATTAAGAAGGAGATGGAAACTTTAGGATTAAATTTTTAAAAATAAATCTCTTCCCTTTGGTGGACTGCAACTGTAAGACATACAAAAAACCCTCCTTTGGAAATGATTTTCTTTAATTGTGCGTGTGTGTGCCTGTGTGCATGTTAAGTGTACATGGAGACCAGACATGACATTGGATGATTTCATTTGGAATCATTAAATACTAAGTATGGTGCTTTGTGCTAAGTGAAAACCAGAAATAAATGTGAGACTTCTAGAAACAGCCATCTGAAACATTACTAGTGCAGAATCTATAAACGGACTGCACACCTACTCAAGACAGCTCTGGACAGGAAAATGGAAAGTGGGCGCACGCGGTGATCCCACGCCCCTGCTAAGGAAGCTGAACCCTCAGTGCCTCAGAGGCGACCCAGCTCCACCCCACCAGCCCCAGTACCTTCCTGCTTCCCAGAGATCACTTCGGCCTGTGACTGTGAAAAGAGGAAGTCAAACTCCAGCGGCAAATCTTTCACTAAATCAGCCAAGATAGCCAACTGCTGCCTGTGGGAAAAGAACACAAAAATCCCAAAGTTAATTATTAACCATCTTTTCACCTGGCACCAAAGTGGCCCAGGGGGCTGTGGCAGAAGAAGTGCTTTCCCAGGGGCCAGGGGCTAGCCTGGGAAACATGGTGAGTCCCCATCTCTTAAAGAAAACAAACAAAAACCTCTTATCACAAACTGCCCTTCCATTGAGTCCTGTGATGACGCCTCCCACCTACCCCATCCACTTGTCTAGCTCTTTCCTACTTTGGTTCCAATTTTGACTTCAGAGGGTCAGACCACATCTGAAGAACAGCCTCCTACACAAAGGCGATATCCCTTATTTAGGGACCAGTATCAGCTCGGGACCCCCAAGACCAAGTTCTCAGCACAGAGGAGATTTATTTGCCCCAGAAGGACAGAGGGCAGAGACAAGGATGGGAGACAGAGGCCAAGGGAGAAAGGGACCAGAACAAGGGGGAGGGGCAGAGATAGGTGCCCTACAGGGACAAAGGACTGCCTGGGGATAGAGAGGAGACAGACACGGCCCACAGGGAAACGGCGGTTTGCAAAGGTAAAGGGGAAACTGTGTCAGGATGGGGTGTTTAGTTTTAATACGGTATGTTTACTGGGTGAGCTACAGGGGTCTTTCACTGCTGGACTTCAATACTTTGATAACTGGACCTTGGTAGTCAGCCTCAGGAGGAGGAAGTGGCCAAATAAGGGAACAGACTGTGGGGGCCAGCTTCAGGAATGTGATCTGACGGTTTTTAACAGGGTTGAAGGAATATGGCGAGAGCCATATTCGCCATGCTTGGGCTGGCTAGAGTCCTTCACCTTAAATAATGCTGTGACTCAAACAATGTTAAGTGAGGAGCACATGGCTTTCTATCTCTGGGAGGGTAGGAGTTAAGTCATAGGAAATTACGGCAGAGTCACAGGCTGTGAAACAATCCTAACTACATCATTCCCAACTACCGAGGGGAGATGTCAGTTACAGAGCATAAATTCACCCTCAGATCTTACACAATACAGACAATGCCTCACGTGACCACACAAACTCTGCCCTGAGTGCCTCACGCTTTTATATAATCTTTTATATGAGCTAACAATTAACTTTTCCATGTTTCAAGGGTTGGCTTTTTTTTTTTCTTTATAAAAATCTTATCATTTGAAAAAACCCAGATCAGGTTCAGAACCCAATGTTCATAAGAATTTCCACTTCAAGGGTAACATTTGAAACTTAGTATCTATGTGGGTATTTCTCTTCTGAGGTTTTAAGTGTTTCCCTGGGATTATTAGACAAAGTAAAAATGAACAAATAAAAGGATAATAAAATGAATCCAAGGAAAATGTTAGTTAAAATGAGATCAGTAATCATCTTAGATTTGCACTGTGCCTGTGAGTGCATGGGTGGGTGGGTGCGTGCATCTGTGTGTGTGTATGTGTGTATGTGTGTGTGTGTGTGTGTGTGTGTGTGTGTGTGTGTGTGTGTACATATGGGGAGGCCAGAAGTTGGCATTGGGTGTCTTCCTCAAGTAGGCTCTACCTTTTTTTAAAAAATTAGATTTATTCCTTTTATTTTATGTGTGTTTGGCCTACATGTATGTGTGTGTACCACATGCATGTTTGATGCCCGTGGAGGTCAGAAGAGGACATCAGAAGCAAGTACTTTCTCAACTGAGCCCTCTCTCCACCCATCTTGGATTTTTAAAGTTATTTATCACAGGAATATTCTACTGGGTTAGATAACTGTCACCATGACTCAGTGAAAAATATTGCTGCTATTAAAAGTGCAGAATTATACTTGAAGAACCAATTTTTCAATACAATCTCATGTACACTGTTTTAAATTTTTTGTTTATTTGTTTGTGGTTTTTTGTTTGTTTGTTTGTTTTGGTTTTTCAAGACAGGGTTTCTCTGTATAGGTTTATGCTTTTAGGGGAAACTCACTCTGTTGCCCAGGCTGGTCTTGAACTCACAGAGATCCGCCTGCCTCTGCCTCCCAAGTGCGCCACCAACTGTCCATTTGTTTTAAATTGTTAACTGTTACACATAATAAAGTTTTGCAGAGAGTTTACAGGGGTAACGAGGGGCTATCCACCTCTCCAGATTGGATATGCTTCTGAGTGACCCACAAGAGAGGGCCTGCTGGATCTGGTGATGACAGGGAGGCATGGGCACCACCCTTCATTGCTGGTTGCGTGCGATGTAAACTACCTTGCGAAGTAAACTACCTTGCTGAAGTTCATTTGTGGCTACCCTTTCGTTCAGCCAGGATATTTTAGCAAATTTTTGTTTTAGATTTGGTTCCATTCCATGTATATAAGTGTTTGCCTGCATATATGTCTGTGAACCATGTGTGTTCCTGGTGCCCACAGAGGTCAGAAGAGGACATCACATCCCCTGGAACTGGAGTTATGGGTGGCTGTGACTATCATGGCGGTGCTGGGAACTGGACCTGGGTCCTCTGAGAGAACAAGTGCTCTTGACTGTCTAGCTGTCTCTCCAACCAGAGCCACTATGCTTTAAAAATAAAATCCAAGTAATAACGACAACCATAACAATACTTACTACAGTAATCTGGGGAAATAAGGTGACAGAAGGGAATTAGGTCATTTATGGGGCATCTATATAATGAAGTTAATATCATATTGATGTTACAAGGAATGAGGTCAATTTATATTTTTATATGATAACATGCAAAGATTTTCAATATACTTGTTTGAGTTTGTTTAAAAAACAAAAACAGAGGCAGAGGTTGGAAGTGGCTCGGAATTTAGGAGTGCTTGTCGCTCTGGCAGAGGACCTGAGTCCAGGTCCCAGCACCATCATCAAGTGTCACAACCACCTGCGACTCCAGCTTCTTCTGGTCTCTCAGGTTCTTGCACTCATGTGCACATACATACCCACACAGACACATGTAATTGAAGATAAATAAAATCTTAAAATTTTTTCAAAAGAAATAAAATGAAAAAAAAAAAAAAACAAAACCTCCTCATATACTGCACCAGAATGAAACTTTTCTTTTCAACACCATTTCTTTACTTTAAACTTAGTGACACAACCTTGCGAGCTACTCCACAGAGCCCCAGGTTAGAGAAGACCGCTGCACTGCCCTCTCTCCTTCCACAAACACTTCCACAGTTGAAATTTCCTACCGTTAAAAAAAACAAACACTCGCCAACGTGACTTCCCAAACAGGAACTCAACAATGACCGCACCAGTGGACGGGCCACAGCGAACAGGGACCGCCCACGAGTCCTCAACCCTAAACGAGAACCACAAGCACCCGCGGAAAACTGGCGGCCGGAGAGGTGGTCTTCTCCAGGGAAGAGAACACCAATGGGCTGTCCAGTGCCAAATGGTCAGCCCTGAAAACACACGTACAAGTACCGAGACCCACACTGAGCAGGTTATTTTCAGGAACACACATGTGTACAGATATATGCATGTAAGAACAACGAGAGAAGAGGACGTGGATTTGAAGAAGAGGAAGAAGGGACATACGGGAGGGTTTGCAGGGAGGAAAGGGAAGAAATGCTGTAATTGTATTATAATCTCAAAAATATCTTTAAAAGTTAAATAAGACCCTGTGAATACCTTTATGTAATTTTAAAGGGTATTTCTATTATAAAATAAAAAGGAAGCAGAAAAAAATATCTGCTTGATTGTTGGCAAAGAAATAAAACCTAGATATATTCAAATACAGTCCAGATGACTCACGAGCACTACCGGCAAATACTAATAAAACAGCAAGGTATTAATCATACAAGGCAGGTTCTTACAGTAAGAGGCAGATGTATATCAGTAACTGACTTGCCTTAGAGGCAGCCATGATTTCATTAAGCCCAGAACGGACACATGCACTGCTGAAGTCGATCAGAAAAGAAGTCCAAGAGAAGGTACAACGCTTGGGAAAGGCTCAACATAGTAAAGACAGACATTCAGAGCTTCCAGACTCACAGGTGGACCTACACAGTGAGCTTTGTCTCCATGGAAACTTCTGAGACAGAGGCAATGCCAGGAGGTGAACCTGGTGTCTTCTTTGCTCCAGACACACAAATGGTGGATAACCCCTAGCCAGGTCCCTGGGCTCAGCCCTGCTGGGAGGCTCTGTGATCTTTGTTCTGGGTTTCCTCCCCTGCCTGGGTGGTGGGACCTCGGGCAAGCTGCAGGCTGAGTGACCTGGCACCCTCACCTTCTGCCATCTGTTCTCTTCCCAGGATTTCAGAAGGTCACAAACAAAGCATATTATTACTTACTTCAAAAAACAAACACTCTGGAGTTGGGAATTTGGCTCCGCGATTAAGAGCACTTGTTGCTTTTACAGAGGATCTGGGTGCCATTCCCAGTGTCCCCGTGGAGGCTCACAACCAGCTGTAACTCCAGTCCCACAGGATCTGAAGCCCTCTTCTGAACTCCGTGGACACCAGGCACACATGTGGTGCATGTACATACATGTAGCCAAAACATTCGTACAAATAAAATAAGAAAATAAATCTAAAAGAAAATTCTCAGAGTGGAGGATGTAGCTTTATTAGTAGAGTGCTTGCCTCGCATGAACAAAGCCCTAGGTTCAGCCCTAGGAACACACTAAAAAAAAACAACCAGGCATGATGGAGCATGCGTACCACTAATCTCAGCGCTTGGAGGTAGAGGCAGAAAGATCTCCAATTCAAGGTCATCCTCAGCTACACAGTAGTTCATGCCTTTAATCTCAGCACTTGGGCGGCAGAGGCAAGTGGATCTCTCTAAATTTGAGGCTATACAGTGAGATACTGTCTAAAATAAATAAATAACATAAATTATAGGATGATTATAACTTCATAGAAATTACATACAAATACACAAAGAAAAGGCACCAACACAAAATGAAAAGGCTGGGAGGCAGAATGAACAGTTTTGTTTGGCATGGTGCATGTACTTTTAGGACTTCCTGTAATGATGTAAGGTTATAGCTTTAACATTTAAAGTGTGGCTGGTAAAACTGAAATGAAATTTTGTCAACAGAGAACTAGAAGGCCTCTCATGACAACATAAATGATCTGCCTCTCACCAGAGAGCCAGCAGCCAAATGACTCAAGGAGTCTACAGAGAGGCAAGAAGTCCGCTGAGCACAGCACTGGGGGCTGGGGGGGGGGGGGGCAGGCGGCGCGTTATTACCCTGCTCGGCACACCCAGATCAAAGCTCTACATCAACAGCTAGGGTTTTTATTATTGCCGTTTTAGGAAACACCCAGTGAGAAAATTTAAACGTGTGGAAAAGAAAACTGCTATTTATTAAGGGAAAATATTTCCATTAATAAGGATGCCCAATGCTTATGAGACTTATGCTCACTCCTGGAGGCTCAGTTCCAACGTCGACGTTGGCACTGAGCTCATTAATATGGCACCAAAGGCACAGGCAACAAAAAGCAAAGTCAGCAAGTGGGAGCACACCAAACCGAGCGAGAAGCCTCTGGAACAAGCAAGCAAAGGAAAAGGCAAGCTTCGTAATGACATATTCACAACCCGCACATCTGATGAGGGGCTAGTCCTCAAAACTAAACAAAACAGGAGAAACTTCTACAGCTTAATAGAAAGAAACCTACAACCTGATTTTAAAATGGGACTATGGACTTGATCAGATATTCCTCTACAGACAAATGGCCAACCGATCTATGAAAATTTCCTAAGGTCTGCAAGAGGGAAACGCAAATCAACATTGCAGGCAAAGACTACTTCACACCTGCTGGGGTGCCTATTACCAGAAAAATAAAAGACAAGTATTTGCAGGGATGTGGAATACAAGAACCCTTGACAGGGGGACAGCAGTCGGTAGAGCGGCTATGGAAAACAACATCCAGCTGGTTGAGAAAGTGCGTAGGGAGGGCGGTGGGATGCCTCTGCAGGGAAGGGCGCTTGCCGCCAACCCTGACAAGCAAACTTCAATCCCTGGAGCCTACATGTTGGAAGGAGAGAATCAACTCCTGCAAGTTGTC